GCAGCCCCTGCGCCATCCGACTCGGGCCCGGCCACGGCCCCGCCGCCAGCACCACCACCGCCCGCCACCGGGGGGCCCCCAGGTGAGCGCCCTCCCCCAACTCTGGAGCTCGTGGGATCGGGGGTCATGAGTGGTCCGTTCGTTCCTCAAGTAGGATGACCAGCAGGGAGGTGGGTGGTGGCGGCCCAAGATCACCTGGTCGTGAGGAGGCAGCCCCGTCCGGGATTCTTTCTGGCCACCCCCCACCCCAGAGCATGCCCGTGCGGGGCCATAGGTGTGCGTGTTGAGTTCGAGGACTCTGCCTTGGGTTGGCACCGCTGGATGTGCGAGAGAGGATGTCCATCTTGCCCTCCCTCCCCAAGGGTTACTGGAAGATATTGGGCTCCCGGGGGCAGCCGGGCCGCAGGGCCAATCCTGAGTCTGCTGCACGTTCAGCGGGTGTATGTGTGGGGAGATGTATGTAGGGGCTTGGGTCCCGGCGGGGGCAGTGAGCGCTGGGCAGAGGGGGGAGGAGCCGGCTTGAGGCCCCCCAGAGGGTCTGACGCAGCAGCCGGCGCTGCTAAGGCGGCAGCAGGCTGGGTGGGGTGGGGGTGGGGGGCACTGCAGGGAACTGTTTAGAGCAGAGGGGGTGGCAAATGGGACCGTGGGACCTAGGGGGGCGCGTGGGTGCCAGCCTACTGGTGACTGTGTGGCTCAGGGCGTGTGACAAGAATGAGTGTGGGCTGGGTGCGTGCCAGGCCACCAATGGGTGAGGGGTGTGTGAAATCCAGCGTCTCCGCCCACCAGTGGGAGGGCCATCAGCAGCCCCCTAGGGTCACCCCAGTACCAGGTCCTGGAGTTACCTAGACTGGGCTGCTAGACAGGAGAAGGGGTGAGGAGCCACAGTTGCACCTGACCCTGATCTTTGACCCCACAATGTCCCCCAGGTACCCCCAGCCCTCCCGCAGGAAGGGAATGGGCTCAGTGCCCGCGTGGACGAGGGTGTAGAGGAATTCTTCTCCAAAAGACTGATACATCAGGATCGCCTGTGAGCGAGGGACAGTTTCAGGGAGTGGGAGAGGGTGGGAAGCCCAGCGGATCTTCCCACTCACTTCAGGGTGTTCCCACAGCTGGGCCCTTGAGGAGGACCCGGCCACTGAGGGAGGTACCACTCCTGTCCCCCGCACACTGCGAAAGAAGCTGGGCACCCTCTTTGCCTTCAAGAAGCCTCGTTCAGCACGAGGGCCACGGCCTGATCTAGAGACCAGCCCTGGGGCAGCTCCCCGCGGCCGGAAAGCCACACTTGGGGACCTGCTGCGGCCACCAGCCCGCCCAGGCCGTGGTGAGGAGCCTGGTGGGGCTGAGGGGGGCACCAGCAGCCCTGACCCTGCCCGCAGGAGCCGGCCACGCTACACACGGGATAGCAAGGCCTACTCGATGATACTGTTGCCTGCTGAGGAGGAGGAGGCAGCATTGGGTGACAGACCTGACAAGGTGAGGCCTGATGACAGGTGAGGGCTCTTCTGGAACTGAGGGTAGTGGGACCCTTCCCTACTTGGGCATCTCTGTCTCCAGCGGCGGCCCCTGGAGCGGAGAGACACAGAGCTGGCACCATCCTTTGAACAGCGTGTACAAGTGATGCTGCAGAGGATTGGTGTGAGCCGAGGCAGCGGGGGTGCCGAAGGCAAGAGGAAGCAAGTGAGTTGGGGTGGGGGGGCATAACTGTGAAGTGAGGGGCAGGTGACATGGCTTGTGGCAGCCTGTGGATGATATATGTGACCAGGAGAGGAGACTCATGTGGCACACAGACAGGTCTAATCATCAGTTCCACTCTTCCCCCCACCCTCAAAATAGTAATCAGATCCAACCTTTCTCCCCTCTTGGCCTCTGCCCTGGCCCAGGTCACTGATATTTCCTCCTTGGACCTGGAATAATCCTTTTTCTGCAGATCAAATCTGACCCTGTCACCTACAATTTAAACATCAAGTTCTTCAGGGCTTCCTCTCGAGATTTCCCAGACCACTAACCCTGCTTCAAGGCCCCATGGGGTCTCAACCCTGGTCACCTCTTTGACTTCACTGCTCTCCACCCTGGGTTGTACCTCAGAGTCCCTACATGGTCTTTCCTCTGGAACTGCTACTTGCCCCCCTCCAGCTTCTCACCACCTGCAGTCTCACTGAGTCCCTCCTCATCCATCCCTGTGCTTCTCTATGGACCTTCCCTGACTCCCTTCCATGGTCACCCTTCTAATACTGCTCTCTGATCACAGTCCCTAATAAGAACCACAGCCCTGGGTACCATCCATTTAATGATAGCTTTTCAGGAAAACAAGAAACACCCATAAAGGGAAATTCAGCCTGAATTTAGAAACACTGACGTGTGAAAAGTCATCACAGAACTAAAATACCATATTATCTGTGTGTCTATGAAAGTGAACGTTTCTGTGTCTGTTAACTGTCCACCACCCCAGACTGTGAGCTCTTAAGAAGACTGGGACTGGGTTTGCCATATTCTTGCCCAGCCCATGGTGGACAATTCTGTGGCTGAGTTATAAGAAAAAGAATGAACAAAAGGACAGGGCTTGGGTGAGGGTGGAGTGGGATGAGGCAGGGCTGGAATTTGACTACCCTGTTTCCTACAGAGCAAAGATGGAGAGATCAAGAAGGCTGGCTCTGATGGTGAGTGGGACCCCAAGGTAGGGAACTGCATTTGGGAGGAGAATATGTCCCTAAAGATAGACTCCAAGGCACCTGCTCTTCTGGGGGAGAGGCCAGGTTTTCCTTCCACCCACAAGGTCTGTGGCCTGAGCCCCCAGCCCCGCCTTGCAGGTGACATTATGGACAGCTCCACGGAGGCTCCTCCCATCTCGATTAAGTCTCGGACACACTCTGTGTCTGCAGGTGAGTGTGGGTGAATATGTGTGTGTTGGGGAAGTGCAGGGGCAGGCAAGAAGGGGTTAGACCATTGGTCAGGCTCACCTCCAACACCTGGCACTAGGTGACACCCCTCTCCCTGCAGACCCCTCGTGCAGACCTGGCCCAGGGGGCCAAGGGCCTGAGCCCGCCTCCTGGAAGACTCTAGGGCAGCAGCTGAATGCGGAGCTGAGGGGTCGTGGCTGGGGCGAACAGGATGGTCCAGGCCCTCCCTCCCCATGTCCCAGCCCAAGCCCCCGAAGAGCCAGCCCCTCCCCGGACAGCCTGGGCCTCCCAGAGGATCCTTGCTTGGGCCCCAGGAATGAAGGTAGGCAGGTACCCTTCTCCCTAGCCCAGGCCTGGGATGGGGACTAGGGGACCCTGAAGGTGGGAGGCAAGGGGTCCCAGTGGGTGCAGCTGTTGCGGCCATACCCTGACACCCTGGCATCCCCCAGATGGCCAGCTGAGGCCACGGCCTCTCTCAGCAGGGCGACGAGCAGTGTCTGTGCATGAGGACCAGCTCCAGGCCCCTGCTGGTGAGGGGAGACACCTCCATGTGTGCTTGAGTCCCAGGGTGCAGATGGGGGGTGGTGAGGGGCTGGTAGTGTGAGGGGTTGAGAAATCAGGGAGCCAAAAGGCCAAGGGTCTGAGAACAGGCCATTCCTACTGGCCCTGACCCCACCTCCTGCACAGCAAACTTCTACCAGAGGTGGGAGGGCACAGTGGATGGGGAGGCCCCTGAAGGCAACTATGCTTGTGTTGTGTGTGTGTGCACCCACTGGAAATAGGGGAGAGGGGCTGGGGCTGGACAGACAAGCCCTTAACAACCCACCCCAAGCCTTTTTATGCCCCTCAGAGCGGCCCCTGCGGCTACAGCGCTCCCCTGTCCTCAAGCGCAGGCCAAAGCTCGAGGCGACCCTGTCCCCAAGCCTAGGTAAGTGGGGGCCAGGGCCAGTTGTGAGGGTGTTGGCAGGTCTGCTCAGCCCAGCCCTGACTCATCCTCTCTCCGTCTGCCCTTGCAGGACCTGGCTCTGGAGCCAAGCCTCTGCCCCCACAGCCCACAGAGCCCTCCAGCCCTGAGCAGAGCCTACCCTCCCCAGCCACAGACCAAAGAGGCGGCGGTCCCAAACCCTGACCCTCTTCCCTCCTGCCGCATGAGATTATTTTATTAAAAAACTCACAGCACAGTGCAAAGCTCTGTTTATCCACCCACAGGCATGACCTTATGTGCACACATACTCCCACATGCTCACATGGGCCTCACACCTGTTAGTTCAGACTCTGGTGGTGGCTCCATTAGAAAGCGCAAGGCCCAGGCCACAAGCTCAGGAGGGAGTCTGAGGAGAGAACCATGGCTGCAGATCAGTACAGATTGGAGCTAGTGACTAACAGAGTGGGGCAGCCCCAGGCACTCACCTGGCAGCTTGGACCCGGGCACAGAGGGAAGTGCAGGGTGGCTCGTACTCGTATTGGAAGGCAGAACCATCACGATGCCTCTTTGGTGGATCCTGAAGGGGTTATAATGTCTAGGGAGGAGCGAATAAGACCCCAACCCCATCCAACGCTACCCTACCACCCCTTCCAGTTCTACCCAAGGTCCTCCCCATTCCACTCTCCACTTGTAGAAAGGCTGTGCTCACCCAGACAGGGCTGGGATCCAGGGCTTCCTTGGTAGCATTGGTCCTTGGAGAGGGCTGCTGATTCTGGTGGGACAACCCTAGCTCCTTGAATTCCAAACTAGGTTTCTGAGCCCTGGTCACACGGGCCTTGTGTGGACTGGGGACACGGCCAAGGGGCAAGAGACTGGGAGTGCAGCTCAGGAGTGGGGAGTTGGATACACCACTGGGGTATAAGGAGCTGAGGTGTGGGGGGCAGAAGGGAAAGGGACCAGGGGTTGAGCAGATGGCTGGTAGGGCTTGGGAGTTGTCCCTCTGCACTGGGTCTGGAGCAGCCAAGGACAGGGCAGGCAAAAGGCTGATGCTGGCACTGCTTTCCTCTGACCGCACGTGGCTGGGGAGTTCCGGAGGAGTTCCTGAGAAAGGTGTTCACTCCCAGCTCAGACCAGCTGAGTGGCCTGTGAGCTTGGGCAGGTCTGTAGGGACTGTGTTCATCCCCCGCCCGGCTGTGCACCCTTTCACAGCATCCTGCACACTCTGGGACCCTGAGTGAGCAGTGAGTGCTTATGGCTGGAACACCACCTCACCTGAGGAACTGGGAGAGGAGGAAGGAGAGGAAGTCAGGGTCAGAGATAGGTCCTGCAGAGCCGGGTCTGGTGGGGGCAGCTTAGGGCCTGGGAATTCAGGGGAGGCTTATCAACGCTGTGGGCCCTGTGACCCAGGTTCCCCCTTGACCTCTCCAGCCTCCCTTACCCTGTGCCCTCTGACCTGGACCCAGAGAGCTCAGGATTTGCTGGTCATCCTGAGAGATGCACAGCCACAGACTGGGGACAGTGTACACAGCTTCTCCCTGTGGAACACGAATTCTCAGCCTGGTCCTTGCCAAACTCCTCACCCAGACGTTTCCCAAGGGAAGCCTCAGACTGACCGTGGCCCTGCGGCGTGAGGCGGCCCAGCGGGTGAGGGGGGCTGCTGTTTGAGGGCCTGCCAGCATCAGGCAGCTCTCAGCCAAGCGCACCAGCGCCCCTCGATGCTCCTGGTCCTCCTGCACCTCATCCAGAAGCTGGGACAGTGTCAGGCCTGGGGACAGGGGACCAGGGGATGGGCCGAAGCTCATAGAGGAGGAAGAGTAGGATAGATGGGGAAAAGAGCTTATTGAGGAAGCAAAGGGTGGTGGTTGGAGAGATCACTTCATGGGGAGTTAGGGTCACTGGCCAACCCCTACCATTACCTGGGTTGGGGGAGGTGGACTCTGACAGGTGTTCCCTATAGAAACAAAGTAGACACATCTGAGGAGCAACCCTGAGGCTTGTCTATCCAGATGTGCCAACCCCTACCAGCCCACACTTGGCCCCAGAGCCCAACCCCACACTCACTCAAGGCAGTCACAGAGCTTTTTCTGCACCTCCGGGTCCTGGTTGCTGGGGGAAAGAGGAGTGTGGTAGGTAGTCAATGTCACTGGGGGCCCAAGCTTTCTCACCCAAAGGCTCATGCCAACGCTGTCCAGGCCTTGAGGGGAAGGGCTGGTGGAGGATGGCAGCATCACTTACCAACCAGCCACCCGTATCAGGGGCTGCTCCGTGGGCAGCAGGCTGAAGCGTTCCACCTGGAGGTAGAACTCCGCAGGCTGGAGGAGTGAGTTCAGGCGCGACTCTCAGGTGTTGTCAGGAAAAGCAAGACCCAGTAACCCGCCCAAGTCAGCATCATCACTCACCGCGCCGCGCTCGGAGACCTGAACGCGGACCCCGCAGTCTTGCAGTAGCAGCAGCCGGCCCTCAGTCCCGCGGAAACCGAACTCCTTCTCCCTGTGGCAAGCGCGACCCTCACTGCCTAGCCCCGCTCAACACAAGCCCCGCCCACCTTGGGCTCAAGCCTCAAACTGGCCCCGCGGCGCTTCTCACCAGTCCGAGGTGTTCAGGGCCTTTCGCGTCAACAGGCATCGGATACTGTGGGTCCCATCGGACACAAGCAGCGCAGCCCCAACAAACAACGCGTCAGGGGCGCGGGACGGACCCGGGGCCTCAGCCTCCTGTAGTACCTAGCGGCGGCGACAAGCGTCAATCGTACCACACAGGCCGCCCCGGTCTCTGGGCCTGGGCAGGGGGGAAGGCCTCACCTCGAGCAGTTGCCCAGCCCGCGGACCAGACAGTGCCTCTAACCCCAATACCAGCTCTCGAATCCAGGGCCGTAGGATCAGACTCCCCAAGCCCGCCATAACAGCCGTCGCAGCTAGCGCAACACCGGACGCAAGTTTCCCGCGGGCGCCCAGGCCCCGCCTCCCATCGGAAAAGGAAGCGAATGAAGGTTGGGCGGGATCGAACCAAGGCCCTGCCCATGTGCGTGGCTGCGCGTGCGCACAAGTGCGTCCTGCTCGTGAACTTCCGTTTAACCCTGATGTTTGGTTGACGGGGTACCGGTCCAATTCCAACTCTCCTAGTAGCGGCCCGACGTTTCGGCCGCTAATCAAGACTCCGGTGGTACCGGGCAAGAAGGGACCAAGGGTTGGCTCGGAGGCCACGACCAAGGATAGTCCGAGCGAATTGGCTCGAAGCCAGTTGGGTGCTGTGTGACCGTCAGGGGTTCAGCTAATATTTATTAGGATTCAGTTTCCAGTGGAAAGACAAGAGTTCAATAAATATCACTTCCCTTACCCTGCCCTCGGATTGGCGGAGCCCTACCTCCTTCAGATTCCGGTGACACGCGGACCGTAGCGTAATGACGTAAGAGCAGAGGAAGACTTCCCCACCCCCATCTCTGTTTCCTAGGAAACGTGGACTCCGCGTTCCACTCTGTCGCTGCCTCGTGACGTCACGGTCCGGATGGGGGTGCGGGGCGAGCGCTACCGCCAGGGGAGGGGCGGCGCGGGCCGGCTGGCCGGGCTGTCTACCGGCGCCTCGGCGGGCCGCCTTGGGCACCGTCCCCGGCCAGCCCGGCCCCGCCATGGCTAGACCGCAGAGGACCCCAGCGTGCAGTCCCGACAGCATCGTCGAGGTGAAGAGCAAAGTAAGGGTCCCTCGGCCTCGGCTCCGGCCTCGGCCCTAGACGCTTCCAATTCCCTCATCCCCCTTTTCCCGGCTCCTTGGTCCCCACCACTTTTCCTTCCTGTACCCCCTACGCTGCATTCTCTGGCTTTTCGGCTTGCCTTCCCTCATTCATCCTCCCTCCTTCCACGGCCGGCCTCCAAAGTTCCTCTGTGGGCTGGGCACCTGGAGGGCAGGGATAAGACCTTGGACAGCGTCCGGGTACTGGAGCTGAGGTCTGGGCTCAAAGCTGTGTCCGTTGTGGCTGCCTGATCTTTCTCATTTCCCACCCCCTTGGACCTGAGGTGAGAAAGAGGTGCAGGCTCCGGCCTGACCCCTCCTCTCCCTCCACCCTTGGCCTCCAGTTCGATGCCGAGTTCCGACGCTTCGCGCTGCCTCGCGCTTCGGTGAGCGGCTTCCAGGAGTTCTCGCGGTTGCTGCGTGCCATGCACCAGATCCCGGGTCTGGACGTGCTGCTAGGCTATACGGATGCTCACGGCGACCTGCTGCCCCTCACCAACGACGACAGCCTGCACCGTGCCCTGGCCAGCGGGCCCCCACCGCTGCGTCTGCTGGTGCAGAAGCGGGGTGAGGGGACTAGGGGATGGGGGTGGGGCAGCCTCTGTGGGGAAGGGTGACAAGGCAGGTTAGTCCATGCCCAGGGCACCCAGGCCTCACCCTCTGCAGTCCCTGCCCTTGACCTGACCTACAAGCGGTAGGAAATAGTTACAGTGCCCCCTTCCCCAGGGACTTAGTGGCCCCTGGAGGGCACAAGTGGAAGATTAGGGTCTCTGATCTCAGCATCCCCGTCTCCTACAGCAGAAGCTAACTCCAGTGGCCTGGCCTTTGCCTCCAACTCCCTGCAACGGCGCAAGAAAGGACTCCTGCTGCGGCCGGTGGCACCCCTTCGTACCCGGCCACCCCTGCTCATCAGCCTACCCCAAGATTTCCGCCAGGTTTCGTCTGTTATAGACGTGGACCTACTGCCTGAGACCCACCGGCGGGTGCGACTGCACAAGCATGGTTCAGATCGCCCTCTAGGCTTCTACATCCGAGATGGCATGAGTGTGCGTGTGGCTCCCCAGGGCTTGGAGAGGGTTCCAGGCATCTTTATCTCACGCCTGGTACGAGGGGGCCTGGCTGAGCGTACAGGGCTGCTGGCAGTCAGTGATGAGATCCTCGAGGTCAATGGCATTGAAGTGGCTGGGAAGACCTTGGATCAGGTGACGGACATGATGGTTGCCAACAGCCACAACCTCATTGTCACTGTCAAGCCAGCCAACCAGCGCAATAATGTGGTACGGGGGGCATCTGGGCGTCTGGCAGGGCTTCCCTCTGCTCAGCCTGGGCTTCCTGAGCCTGACGATGACAACAGTGACCTGGTCATTGAGAACTGCCAGCCTCCCTGTTCCAATGGGTTGTCCCAGAGATCCCCATGCTGGAACCTGCACCCCGGCCGTTCACCTCCCGGTGCTCGCAGCTCTCTGCCCTCCCTGGATGATCAGGAGCAGGCGAGCTCTGGCTGGGGGAGTAGCATTCAAGGAGATGGTAGTGGCTTCAGCCTCTGACAGGCAGATACTTAGCCCCTTGCCACTCCAAGCTGCTGGGGCATGGCAGAAACTTCCGTGGTTGGGATTTTTAGCTTGCTCACAGGGCCCTCTCAGCCTGGGGAACATTAAAAGTTTTCTACAAATGCAGCCATGGTCCTTCTATGTCCCAGGCCCAGCCTCCTCCCTGATCCCACAGCCTGCCTTCTGCCTGGACATGAAGCAGGAGTGATGAAGGCAGTGGGGAAGCCTTCTTGCAGTCAAGTGGCAGGAGGGCCACCAGGCTTGGCATTTCTAGGGCAAGAAAAGCTTTTATGGAAGCAGACTCAGCTGTGTACAAAATGTTTAATGTTGACAAAGGGTGAAGCAGCTGGACTGGTCCTTTCATAGCCAGTGGTGCCTGGGAAGAGTGCTCTAGGGGGTACTGCCCACCCTACTGCTCCTGCCTTCAGACCTCCGCTCTGTGACGGGGCCCAACCCTGCCCTTTGCAGCCATGTGGCAATCCTCAGCATGGGCCTCTGATGCTACCCCCACAAAGGGGTTCAGGCATCCATCTTCACGAAGACCTTGGGGCGGGAAAAGATCCTGATGGCCTCCTCTACTTGCACCAGCTTCTGGTCCAGCTCAGCACGGTGGCCCTGAGCTCTCAGTGAGTCTGCCCCAGCAGGCAGCAATACCAGCTCACGAAGCAGTTGGCTCTGGCCTACAGGGCATCCCAGAAACAGTGAGGGCTGGGCAGGGGTGCATGGTCCCCAGTGGGTCCGCATCCAGCCACCCTTGCCCAAGTACTCACTCTGGAGCAGAGAACTCAGTGTCTCTAGCCGCTGGTTCTCAGGCATGCGAGTGTGCCCGGGGGGCATGGCAGGGTCCGGCTGGCTATGCTGACGGGCTTCAGCCTCCCGCCGCCACAGATCCCTACGCTCCAACAAGCTGCGGATACACCGACTCAGGGTTGATGACCCCAGAGCACAGGTTGGCTCCTGCCCTCCATAGGCGCCCCTCACCCTGGGCATTGGGCTGTAGGACCTACTAATGGGGCACATGGCCCTTCTGTGTAGCGTTGTAGTGCTCCTGGGCTTGCCGTTGCTGTTCCAGCACCTGTGCCAGGACCTGCAGTGAACAAGAATGCCGCCGGGGGGCCCTCTTGGCAGTGCGAGCATTGTGGCTAATGAAGTCCACACCTAGGCCTGGACCCTGCAAGGCATGAAAAGCATCATGGGGCAGACAGCACGGTGTTATGCCTCTGAGCCCACCTGAACCCCTGCCCAACCTTCTCCCAGCTCCCATGCATCCTCTCACCTTAGCACTAGGATCTGGTGGGATTAGCTGGGGACGGGGTGGTGGAAGCCCAGGGCCACAGCGGGAGTGTGCCCTCAGGAAGTGGGCATGTTCTGTCCCAGAAGCAGGGCCAGGCTCCTGGAGGGCAGGGCACAGCAGAGGGATCATTCAGGCTGAGGTCAGGGTCTCAAGCCACAAGACCATGCCTCTGTTCCTCCTGCTTCTCAGGATCTCTATCCCCATCCCTATGGGCCTACTCCCTCTTGAAGGAACACTTCTCATCAACATGTTTTTCTCACATCTTTAAGAAAACAGCACAGCATCCCTCCTTCTACCTCAGTCCTCGCCCCAGCTACTACTCTCTCTTCCTTTCCTAGCCAAGCTTCCTGGCTCTGGCTCCTTAAGGTCACTGACAGCTGACTTCCAAGCTCTCTAATCCAGGAGTCACTTCTCTTTGTCCCACTGTCCTCAATCTGATCTTCAGTAACCTGAGTCTCATTCCTGAGATCCAGACCTGAATAACCATCCGTTTCCGGGACATACTCTCACCCCATGGCAGTCCCACAAACGCTTTGACCTCAGCACATCCACGTGAGACCTTGCTGTTGTCTCAACCCTCAACCCTACACCTGCTCCTGAGGTCCCTGGATAGGGGAATGGTGCCACTTATCTACTCAAGACATACCCTACCCCCACGCCTCCACCCTGCCCTTCCCACTGCCTTCAAAAATAAAGGCTGAAAATGGCTTGTGTGGCCCTTTATGATGGCAGTCTAGCTGACTTCTTAGCCTAACCTGTGCTCTTCTCCCCTTACAGTGAGTTTCACCCTCTGGCCTCTGTAAGGCTCCATCTCTATGGAACATTCTCTCCTACTCTCCCCTTGCCTAATTCTTACTTGTCCCTCAGGATCAGCCCAACCATCACCACTTCTGAGAAGGCTCCCAGCCCTACCCTGCAGCAGGTCCAAGTATCTCTTAGTCCTCTGTTACCCAAGTCCCTTGTGATTTTTCATGCCTTCTAATAAACTAGTTCAGGGTATAACTGCCTGTTGATCAACAAGATGAGAAATACTTCTCACTCCCCAAGGCAGGTACCTGCAGCTGGGCCTTGACCCGGGACTCCACTTTGTCATACTTGGGCGAACGCCACAGAGCCTTCAGGGGCCTGGGCTGGCACTGCTCCCGGCTGCGCTCCTGCTCCCAGAAGCGCCTCTGTATCTCCTTGATACGTCTCAGGTTCTCCTTCTCATGGTCTTTTGTGTCCTTCCCTGGGGAAGAGATGCTGCCAGGCCCTGTCCTATGTACAGCTCATTCAATCCAACTCACACCAGTTCACACACAGGCCCACACCCTGCCTCTTACAGAAAGATCTTCCTGACCTCTTCACCTAAGTTAGATCCTACACACACACTCCGCCTCATCATCTTGTTTCCTTCCTTACATAGTAATCATCTTCTATGCCTGATTACATTTTACGTTTTTATTGTGAAGTATACCATTAATCATCTTGTACATTAATCTGTCCACCTGTTTGTTGTCTCCCACCTTGACTCATGATGACCCATGCCTGTCTTCAACCCTGGCTTCCTAGCACCTATAAGGCCTGGCACACACTAGGCATCCAATAAACACCGTTGCTTTGATGCACGAATGCATGAAGCTGAGGCTTCCCAGGGACTGCCTCGTTCAGTTCTTTCCTGAGAGGAGGTAGTGTATTGTTTTCCTTCTTTTATAGTTGGGGAAACTGAGCCTCGGAGAGGCAAAAGCCTGGGCGCGGGTCGGGGAAGAAGAAGCTGAGGCTTTTGATCTCGTTTTTGACCTCCTATCCGCCTCATTGCCCCTTCTTCCCGGGACTTACTCTTTGGAGAGGCCCTTGGGGTTAGGGAGATACTCCCGAGTTGCAGCAGCACGGCCCCCACACCGCGCCGACCACGTTCCAGGATCTCTCGGGCTCCGGGACCGATGCGGGGGCCCCGGGGAGGGGCAGCGTCCAGGTCTGGGTCCGATGTCAGCAGGTCCAGCTTCGGCGCGTTTCCCTCAAGGCGCCCTTGGGCTGAGGAGTGGGGCGAGGTGGAGCGCGGGGCTCGGTGAGGAGCGGAGGCCGTCCCCCGAGCCCCCTTTCGCCGCGGCCCGCCCCCACTCACCCGAGGCCGGCCGCCGGTAGTAGTCGGGACAGAGCGTAGGGTCCGGGGGGATGGGTCCCGAGATGCGAGACGGGCCTTCGCACATGTCGCCGCCCTGCAAAAATGCCCCGAGGCGTGCCAGGCTGCGCATTCCCAGACCCAGACCCTCTTGCCCAGTCTCGCGCTTCCCCCCTTGACCCCGACCCTGACCCCACCCATGCCCTCCATTCCCGGCCCCCTACTCGTACCCCGTCCCGCACCTCGGCTCCGGCCTGCGCCCGCTGCCTCTGATACTAGCCCACTTCCCTGGCCCGTTCGCAGCCCCTTCCCTGCAACACCTGGGCAGCGGCCTCTTCGGAGCTGTTCCACCGCCCGTGGCAGCGACTCGACGGGAGTTGCTGTTGCCAGGCAACAATAGCTTCCGTCTCTGAGGTTAGGGGTCAGTGCCGCTGGTGCAAAGCCTTCTGGGGCTTGTAGTTCCCGCTGTGGGGCGGAGCGGCCTCCAGTCACCCTTCCCAACTCTAACCTCGCTTCCCGGCGCGTCTCGGGAGTCGGTGTGGGGTCCGCCCCACAAGCTGCCGTGGAGGATGCGCTGACTCAGCGCAGCCATGGCCTCAGCAGGGGCCGAGAGGCGGCCCGGGGCCCAGGAGGGGACAGCCATGGGGCTGACACTGCTCGCAGAGGCGCCCAGTGGCCGTGTTCAGAGCTCCGAGGTAACCGTTGGGCCGTCTGGCCTTCAAACACTTGGCTGCGGCGCTCAGGAGGGCCGAACTCTGGGCGACCCTGACCCTCTAACTGCCAAGACATGCTCTAAGGGCGGGAAGGGGCACGGGCTGGTGCCCCTTATTGGGTCTTTGTCTACTGTTTGGCTCTAACGTCCGATCCCTGTATCATTTGGCCATGGTGACCAATAACCTATGTGTCACCTCTAGTGCCCAGTGACAGGAGACCAATGTCTCATGCCAGCCCTTGAAGCCTGCCAGACCCAGGGTGAAGACAAGTGTCCAACAGGACCAGCCTCAGAACCAGTGCTCCAGGAGGAGAAGCTCAAGCTGGAGGAGGAGAGGCTCAAGCCAGAGGTGGAAGCCCTAGAGGAGAGAGGCCCCAGACCCCTAGCTTCCATTGTGAGGCCCAGTCATGGTCTGAAGAGGAAGCCGGTCAAGTGAGGGGGCTTTCAGAGGGAAGGAGCTGCAGGGATGGGAAGTGGGGCTCATATCCCAGGAGGAATCCTAAAGCCTGCACTCCTGCAGAGCATACCCTTAACCCCTGCCACCACCATCACCTCCCACCTCTTCTGTCCCTCAAGATTCCTGGTTAGAGAGCACCAAGGGAGAGGGAGCCTGAAAGCCTTGGAGGGGACTGAGCTCATATGCTCTGGGCCCCTGCCAGCCCGGGGGGGCCTCACTGACCAGGAAAGGGGCAGGTATCTGGCCCTGGGTGGTGGGCAGGCAGGGCTATCCCCTAGGCTCTGGGCACAGGCTGGCTCCTCAGGCCTCCTGTCCATGGCTCTGGTCCCCTAGCCTTCCAGGGGCTAGTCACCATGCCCATCCTAGGGCTGAAGCTGAGCTGCCACTGGGGCTGCCGCTGCAGAAGGAAGAACCGGAGGGTAGGGAGCCCTCACCATCTACCAGACAGCACAAAAAAGCCAAGAAGCGCAAAAGTCTGGGGGCCCCAGCATTCCCAGCTGCAGTCAGCACAGTGTGTGCCCCCTCAGAGACCTTGGGGCTCGAGCGTGAGTGGCAGCCCTGGGCCTCTCCTTTCTCCCCTGCCGGCTGGTCCCCCTGACATGGCACAGCCTGGTGCTCCAGCCCTGCCCCATCTTGGGTCCTTGCAGGAAAGGCTCAGCGCCTGCGACCCCTATACCAGTACATCAACTATTGCAACCCTGAGCTGAACCAGGCAGGGGAAGCGGACAGGGAGGCTGAGGCCAAGATGGAGCCTGAGTCGGTGCTGGCCCTGGTCCTCGAAGAGGCAGGTGTGGAGCAACTGCAGGCCTCGCTGCCCATGGGAGGTGAACTGGGCTCAGGCCTCGCTTTGCCGTGCCCCAAAATGTTAGTGCCTCCCACCCGCATTCTGGATCCCCTGGCAGAAGAGGCTGGAGAGGAGCCTGGGGGTCTGCCTAGCTTGGCGGTCAGCAGCCAGCTGAAGGCTGAGGTGGATAAATCAACCCAGGTGGACATTGACAAGATGCTGAGTGTCTGTGCTGCCCCACTTGTGCCCCCGCTGTCTCCTCAGTACAAGTAACTGTCCTGCCCCACTGGTGGCTCCCCTCTCCCCAAGCCTGAACCAGAGCAGTAGCCTCTGGGCCTAGCCCTCAGGTACAGGGGAGAATTTGGGCCATGCCTCCACTTGCTGGAAACTTGGCCTTGCTGACAATGAACATTTTTTTCATTTTCTCAGACTGTGAGATTCCCCAGTGCATGATTTAAAGCCTGACTGGTCATCTGAATCACCTGGGCATTTGACAAAAATAGAGAGTCCTGGGCCAACACCCCAGACCTCACCGAATCAGAATCTGAGGGGTGGGGCCTGGATTCTGTTCAGTTAAAGGCTCTGCAGACGCATCTGAGGGTCAGACAGGCTGACAGTGGGGGATAAAGAGGGAGGTGACTAAGGAGGAACTTGGAGCAGAGAAAGGGTCTGTGAGGCCACGGGAAATAGGGGTTTGCCCTTGTTCCCTGTCTCCTAGGGAGGTGACCTGTATTTGGTCTGACTTGCATTTGGGGACCACCCCCTCTGAGGTGGCAGAGTTCATCTGACTGTCCCAAGAGTGGCTGCCTTTGGAACACCTTCCATTTATTGCTAGGCCACAAATGGACCAGACCTTGCCCAAGGAGTAGCCTCTGGTGCCTTTTCCTGGCAGAAGTGGTGTAGACAAGGAAGGATCTTGGCCTGACATTCTGGAGAGATTGCTTGGGCTTCAGTGTGAAGGGCAGAATGGGGAGGAAGAGATTGGGGACAGGGAGGTGAGGAGGCTGTCACTGTCTAGGTGAGTACAAGGCCTAGATTTGGTTTGGAGTTGGATAGTAAGCAACAAGTATTTTGGAAGTTCTTACCTGGTTGCTGCACCAGAGAGAAAACTCTAAGAGGTTTAATACATTTTCACTGGCCTAGTAAAACTTTGTTTACTTTGACCAGAGAAAGGTTGGTTGACATCCTAAGATTTGGGAAATAGGTTCTGGGAGGTGGTGATACTGCCTTCCTCCAGTAGGGGGCGCTGCAGGACAAGCCTGGAACCACAGTTGCAGGCTCGGTCACTTCTGGGACAAAACGCTGCTGGCTTCCGTGGCCACAGGCATGCATGTGCACCACTTCAAGGCCCATCTCCTACTCCTCTGGTCATGGATCTAGGTTCTGGGGGTGTTGCCAGAGGGCCTGGGGTGCTCATAAAAGTAGCCCTGCACAAATGCCACTGGAATTTACCCCAGGAATCTAGGAATCTGCCTTGGTAAACAAAAGCGCTGGTGGCAGATTCCTCTAAAACCTAAGTGCCATTCTGGGTCAACAACATGGCAGTTTCTTGCACAGAGGCATCTGGGCTGGGCCCAATGGATGTGTGTTTTCTGGGTTAATTCCCAAATTTAGGGTGGATGCAGTAGGACACCAAGGGACTGACCTGAGGTGTGACCACTGTGGGGGATGGGGGTGGGGATACTCCCTCTTTAACTCTTGACTCTGTCAGCATCTTGCCAGGCAGTGGGGTCTCTGCAGTCCACCACCTAGCTCAGGCCAGGCTGACTCCAGCTGTAGGGAGGAGGCACTAATCTGGATGATGACCCTAGTGGGGGTGGGGGGGAGCAACATACACGCAGTCAAGAGTCTGAGAATTCACAGGTGCTGGAGAAACAGGTAGTTCGGGTCAGGCCCTGTAGTTAGGTGGTCCTGACTGGGTCTTGGCTTCATCACTTAACTTATACAAGGCAAGTAACTTTGGCCCTCTGTGCCTCAGTTTTCTAACATGAACAATGGGAATATTAATACTACAACCTCATAGAGTTGTTTGGAGATTAAAACAAAGCACATGAACTGTTTACCCTGGGAGTGCCGAGCATGCAGTAAATATAGTCCAACACTACTCATTGTTATTTTATCTCAAAAGGATAATGTCTGCAACCAGGACAACAAGCCTGGTGACTTCTATAAGGGGTACCAAGAGGAAAAGGAAGCCCTCCCTAAGCCTTTCTGGCAAGGAGCCCAGGGCAGAGCAGAAAGGGAAGGTTAGAGAATGGAACAGAGTTTGGTCCAGGATTAACAATCCTGGCAGGCTGGCAAAGTGAGACAAGGAAACAAAAGGGATTGAAGGGTCTTCTCCCAACACTCACCCCACCTCTGACTTACAAGGTAAAAAGACTATCCCTGTGGGGAACACAGTTCATAAAAGGATGGCTGGCTGGCTCAGGCAGCTTTCAGCTAAACTGCTTCAGGGGCCAGTGCTTAGACTCTTCCTCCTCAAGCCTGTTCCCTCCAGCTTCCCTCCTCACCTCCTCTCTCCTGAGATTCCCTTGGTGCCAATTCCATGATCTCAAAAACAGAACTCCCTCCTGACCTCGAGGCCCCAAACTGTCGCCCTAAAACGGTAGGCCCCACAGAGCCCCATCAGGGAGTCTTGAGTCCTGCTCTCTGAAGAAAGCCATTTGTTTGGAGGGATCTTAGGACTCGGCCATGAGGGAATAAACACAGCGACAAGGGCAGGGCTGTGGCCAGAGCCGCCCACAGGAAATTGATAGGCCCATGCCAGGCTCAGACCTGCTGAGGAGCTGAGGAGGGAAATCTAAACAATGTATAGCAACAAACAAGGCTTTCATTATTAAAGACAAACAAAAACCCAACCTACCACACAAACAAAAACCAAAAAAACACATGCCATGTCATATTCTCTGACTTTATTAACATTTATCAGATGTTCTAAACCTCTCCCTTGTTTCCTCTCTGCCAAATCAGGGTCACTTAAATAGCCCCTGAGAGCTTACCTAATTAAGAAATCCCCTCCTCCCCTCCAGGGAAGGGGCAGCCTGGAGGCCTGAAGGGCCTGGTCGCGAAGGAAGGGGAGGATCCCCAAGGGGTGACACCCTGCCCTCACCATTCCTGAGATGCCCCAGCCCAGAAAGGGCATGGAAACAAGGCTTCTTGTCCTTTCTCCTCAGGCTGAAGGATCAGCCAAGCTGGCTGTCGGATGTGCTTTCTTACCCCCGTAGGGCCACAAATCAGGCTGGAGAAGCCCACAAGTCAAGCTTTTGCGGGCCCTACTCCCCAGTGTAACTATTCAGAGACCTGGCGGCCGCACCACCTGCACGCACTGTACTGCCCCAGGTCAACAGAACATTCCCTGGCCTGCCAGTCTGAGGGATAAATAAGGGGATGGAGAGGGTGTGTGCCAAGAATCACCTTAGGCTTCACCCAGACCTGACGCAGGCAGACTTGTTAAACAAAAGCCACCATCTCTGCTATGGCAACGCTCTCCTGCCACGGCTCTTGGTCCCCATGCCCCATGGCAGGGAGCCCATATGCAGGCTTACAGGTTATTCCGCTGGAGCACCTCACACAGGTTCTGGTTGGCGTCGGGCTCCTCTGTCAGCACCTCCACAGCCTCCCACTCCCCGGATCGACTTGACCGTTTGATAGCATCCACCACACTCTGCATATACAACCCGTCCTCGAATGAGGCGGCCATGGCAACAGGGGAGTGGTCCCAGGTGCGGCGGTCACCCTGCCCCTGGAAGGACTGGCGCAGGGCCTGCACCATGTACACCATGCCCTTCAGGTAGAGCAGCGGGACATCTTGTGGCCCCTGCTCGGGCAGCCCCGCACCCACGGCCAATGAGTCCCTCAGTAGCAGCTCCTCTTGTGTGGCAGAGTTCTTCTGCCCATACAGGTCAGCCCCCCGAGCGACAAGGCGTCCCGCAGAGCCCACCACCATGACTTCGTGCACAAAGGCACCTGGCATGTTGAAGTTGAGCGTCACTGTGCTGCACACCCCCCCACCCATGAGCATTTGGAAGAAGCAGAAGTCATCGCTGGTGACGTGCCGGATGCCACGGATAGCGGCATTCTGCCTCACGAAGGTCTTCAGCAGCCCATGCACCTTCTCAGCTCTCCGGCCAGTCAGGTGGGTCAGCAGATCCACAATGTAGGTGCCCATGGTGTGCAGGCCCCCACCACCCATGAGCTCGTCACAGATCCAGCCATAGCTGGGGCTGAGCAGGCTGCCCGAGTAGATGCGGGCATCGCAGATCATCACTGCACCCACGTAGTGCTCCGCAATCAACTGCTTCATACGCACGAAGGCAGGCAGGAAGCGCAGCACATTCCCTACCAGGCTCATCAGCTGCGGGTAGTAGCGTGAGGCTGTCACCATCCGGAAGGCATCCACTGAGGTTGCTGCCTTCTCACACACCACATTCTTCCCAATACCTGAGAATAAGACACAACAGGAAATCTCAAAGTTCCAAGGGGGTTACACTGAAAAAAACACAAAAACTAGTTTCTCCAAGGCAGATGGATCCAGGGAAGCCTCCTATGGAAGCAGAAGGTGGACGTGGGAAGGAAGCAAGGTGGCTCATCTTGAACTGAAAACAGTGCCCATGACTGGGAATGAAGAAATAGTTATGGGTTGAAGAAAGAGGAATAAGTTCTTAAGGGAAAATGAAACTTGCAGAGGCAGAAGACACAAACTAGGAGTGGAGGTAAAGAGAGGTCAGATGGAGAGGTAGACATGCTCCTTGGACACGTCCCCATACATTTATGCATTGGTTAGATAACTAGCTTGGGGCAAGAGAATCTAATCTTTATTCTGTGGTGATGGGCTCTGCACTGTCAGTTTTGGTTCCAGAAAGGGCTCTAAGAGTCCCATAGTCTATTCTCTGAAAACACTGGTCCAGCAAGTTAATGGAGTCAAAGGGCCAGAAAATGCTCAGCTCCACTGGGAGGGAAAAGGGGGTGAAAACATACTTTCTGCCCTCACACTGCAACTGGAATGTACTCAGAGAGAATGAAACAAGGCCATACAAAGCCCTGAAGAGAGAGAGCTAGAGGGATGAGCAGTTTCCACATGAGGAAACTGAAAGGATTAAAACTCATGGGAGTATGAGCAGCCACAAGACACCAACACCTGGGGCATCCCTGGAAGCTTAGGGTGGTTCAAGTTAAATCCTATTCTAATACCTTCGAATAGAAAACTTATAAAGCCCAAGAAACAGTATGGATTAGACATATACATAGGTTTATGAGTGATGGCAAGCTGGGGAAAGGTGAAAACACCCAGTTATTCCACTATTCATTCTACAGACACTGCCCATGGTGAGTGACTCAAATTCTACTATCCTAATTCCCTCAAGAAGTCAAGGGCTTTTTTGTTGTTGTTGTTGTTGTTCTTTGTATTTTTTTATTTTTTATTGTACCTCAGGTGAAGGCTTACAGAACAAATAGTTTCTCGTGAAACAGTAGTACACATATTGTTTTATGACATTGGTTAACAACCCCACAACAGGTCAACCCTCTAACTTCTCAACTTTTTTTTGTATTTTAGATGAGGGTTTTACAGACCAAATTAGTTTCTCATTAAACAATTAATACACGTTTTGTGACACTGGTTGCCTCCCCCATGACATGTCAACACTCACCCCTTCTCGACTTTGGGTTCCTCATTATCAGCTTTTCTGTCCCCTCCTGCCTTCTCGTCCTTGCCCCTGGGCTGGTGTGCCCATTTAGTCTCGTTTTGTATTATAGGCCTGTCTAATCTTTGGCTAAAGCATGAAAGAAGTCATGGGCTTCTTGAGAGAACAGGCTCAAGTTTGGTGGGAGCACAGAGCAACTTGCCCTGCAGGTGGCAGGATTGGGAAAGGCTTCATAAGGGAGTGACACTGGGGTTGTCTTAAAGGGAGCAGATGTTCCAGGGGTGTAAGGGGTAAAGGACATCCAGACAGAGGGAACTGCATGTGCAAAGGCACCGAGGCAGGAAAGGTCCAAGGTTAGGATTCCTAAAGTCCTGGGTGCACGCTAGGAAATGGGGCTAGAGAGGTTCCACGGGGTCTGTAAGAAATGCAGGAATTGGAAAGATAGATGCTCCGTAGTATCACTCACAAAGACATTTAAGGTAAAGGAATAAGTTTAGGGGAGGAATCCAAAACTGAGCTCTTGATACTCTTTATCCCTAAGTCTTCCCCACCTCAATTAATGGCAACTCCATTATCCCTGTTTCTCAAGCCAAAATCAGTGACGTTGCCCCACTTTTAATTATCAGTAACTCTTGCTGGCTCAGCTTTCAAACTATATCCAGAATCTAACCAGTTCTCACTACCACCATTGCCACCTTCCTGGTCCAAGTCACCACCATTTTTTGCCTGGATTATTGCAATCGTTGCTTAACTGATCACCCTGCTTCTGCCCTTGCCTACCCCAATCTCTTCTCAACACAATAGCCTGAGTAATTCTGTTAAAATTTAAGATGCAGAGATCATATCACTCCTCTCACGTCATTCAGAATAAAAGCCAAAGTCCTTACAGTAGCCTAGCCATACATGATCTGTGTGTCCCTTTCAAAACTTTCATTTTGCTCTCTTTGCTTACTATGGTCCCTCCCCTGCTCATTCGGCTCTAGCCCCTGAAGGTGAGATGGGGGCTGCTGGGCAGAAAGGCATGGTTGATGGCGAGAGGCAACAATCACTGAAGAGAGGGCTGACAGGCAGGCTGGGCTCCATCGAGGTGCTTGGGACAGAGTCTTGGGTTAGACAATCTCATGTCTTACTCTCTCAGGTGAAGAACACTCTGAGCAAATATGCACTTGGGCTTCTCCCTCAGGGCCGTCCAGGCTCCACTCCCACACTCCACAGGCACTTCCTGGTTGGAGAGGCAGCCTCCAAGCCTGGATGCCTATGTCTGGGGGCAACCAGGGCAGGATTGTGTACATCTCCAACAATCCCAGTGTTCATGATCTCAGACCTCTGCATGTTTTCTGAGTGCTTTCAGATGGGACAATGGTTGAACCAGATAATTTCTCGTGGCCCACTGCAGGCAGGGTGCAGCTTCCCCTGATGGACTCTGATGGAACCCATTCACACAGGCTCAGGAGGGGACTCAACTAGCCATCTTGCAGCAGAAACAATGGCAATCATAAGGCAACAAATTTTGCAACAAAAAACAAACATTTTACACAAATGATTGATGCCCCACATGATGGATGGGCCCCAGGACTGCTGATTGCCCAGGAGGAATCAGTTACTGCTGCTGAACTTGGGCTTTGGAGCCAGACATTTCTGTGTTCCAATCCTGGTTCTCTCACTTCATTGCTGAATGACCTGGGCTTTGGATTACTACATTGTAAAATGAAAGTCACCTCCACCTTGTAGGGTGGACGAGAAGATTCAGTCAAACGAGGTGGTATTTGTAATATGCCCAGCCCCACACAATTCTGTCAATGGTAAGTTTTATTACCATTGGCATGGGAGAGACTGAGCAGACGTCACAGATACTCAGAAAAAAAGGTCTGTTGTGATTTAGATCTTAAGACTCACACAGAAACTACATTCTCCAGCCAATTAATTTCTATGTTCAATATTTGAAAATTTGAGTTTTGAAAAATTTTTAAAATTAACATGAATATAGATGTTTCCTTATTATATGTTTACCAAGCCTCTCCTAGAGTTAGACCCAGCCTGCCCTTTGGAAGGTGACAAGTCCATCTGAGATAATTTGGTGCTTTGGCCGATCCTTCCAGCTCCTCTCACTTCCTCCCCTACCACGCCCGTCACCCTGGCCTTCAAGCACCCTACAGAGCATTTGCCATTTGCACATCTGGGAGTCTCAGGCCTGAACTCTCAATATTATACATGAACCTTAGCGCTGCAGCAAGGAGGAACACAGCAAGGTACACATGTAGATCAGTAGCCTATGACATAACTCCTGTTTATAAAACTTTTTAATCTCCTGCTCTTCTATGAACAATAATCAAAGCTTTATAAAAGGTGCAGGCAGAACACGAGAATGGCTGACCATGAGTCCCATGCCCAGGGCTGGGAGCAGTGTGGGCTGAGCACAGCAGGCAGGGCGGCTGAGAGGGCAAAGGCCCTTGGCACAGGGGCTGGGCAGCAGGGGCCCCGCAGGGAGATTAGCCCCTGACTGTTATTACTATTTGCTTTCAGACAGCCTCCAGTGCTTCCCCCCGTGTGGGATATCATGATCACCGACAGGAGAATCACAATACTTGATGAAAATTCTGTTGTTTGGCTGCTAGACACATCTGGCTGACCATGGAGGGAATAAGGAAATTAGGTTCTCACACACAAACGTCCCATTTGAGAGCTGCAGCTCAGGCCACCCCAGAGGCTTCCTGCTGGTGCTGCTCACTGCTGGGTGGGGGTGGACACTGAAGTACAGGGTGGTGGTGGGGGAAGGGGGAATGGGAAAAGAAAAGGACTTTTGTGGCTGCTGGGAGTTTGGTGGTGATAAAACTAAGATAAAGAATCCGTTTCATGCCACAGAGGTGAAGGAAGGGGGAGATGTCTCTTCTTGAGCCCAAACAATAGAGAAGCTTTTGAACTGAGGGCCTGGTAGTATGATCAGTATGAGAGTTAAAGGCCTTGAGTTAAACAGGCTCTTGCGGGCCAGCTGCACAGGGTCTCTACATTTAGAAAGACTTGGGTTGCCTTGAAAGACTAATTTATGTAAGTTTATCTAGCTTTCCTGCTAGGAAGTCAAAGCAGAGATTAGAGAGCTGAGACTGCTTTTTATCTTCAGAAAATGAGGAAAGCATGCCTGCCTTAGTGCTTTTTAGCTTGGATTTTCTAGACAGTGAACAAGTGTCAAGCTGCAAGCCTCTTTCCAGCTCATATCCCCCACACTACCTGGGAGTGATGTGCCTGGAACACCAGAGGGCCGGAGAAACTGCCCAGTGCTGCTGCAGACCACCTCTGTTTCCCTAGTAACATACCACAGGAAGCCAGGGTCACAGCACTGGGCCCAGGAACACCTCTTTGTTTCCTCATCTGAAGGCATGGGACTAAACAAGGGATTTCAAACAACAGGGCAGGGAAGCAAGACAGGGAGAGTGCCATTTTTGCCTTTTTTATAAAACACAGGGACTTTCCACTTTTCCTTTTCACAAACAAGGTTCTGCTACTAGAAAAATCAGCTTAAAAGCCACCAGACTGAATCACACTAACAGATTGGGCTTGCATGGGTAAGATTTGTGAATGCCTTCATTCAACTAGTATCTACTGGGCACGCTCTACTTTACCAAGTATGACATCCTTCTCCAGGCCCTATACCAAGCACCAGGGATAGAACAACAGATTATTTTTATGACCAAAAATCAGGCATGGTTTGTATCCTCAGAGAACTTACAGTTTAGTGGGAGAGCCAGCCACTAATCAAATTATCATATAAGTAAATGTAGAGCTGTCCTTGTAATAAAAGCA